TTGTGGTAAGAATCTATGTAAAAATATTATGTATGTTTTTAATATTTTCAATTACGGGTGGATATGTACACATGGATATGATATGGGGGGAAGCAAAATGGCCAACAGATAGTTGAGTTGATGCAAAACAAATATAAGGACACAATGATGAGACAGTGGCGAGGCGATGTGGCATATGTCAACGTGAAAACCGCTCGTTGAAATGGTTAAAGATCGGGCCAGTGTCCAATCCCTCCAGCAGGTCATGTGACTGTCTCCTGGGACGTACCCTCATCAATGTTGAGCATGAACAGATTTTTTTGAGTCTTGACATGTGAAACATGGCAACTCTGATTAGCTGGCATGTATTCCACTCCTATTACCATGCAACATTTTTAACGTTTATTTTCCACAGGTCATTGATCTTACATGTGTACATTATTCATGTCCGTCCTCTGACAGCTGTCTGCACACATTTAGAAGAAACAGATTTTAATCCAATTAAAATAAAGAACAGAAACAGTGGGAGCTCTGTGTACCTGGAAGCAATGACTGCTAAAGTATGACCTTCACAAACTGGAAACAGAGGAAACAGCTCTCCTTAAAAGTGAAAATGAAAGTGAAGATTGTGTACTTGTCTATAAAGTCTACATTGTTCTGTGCACGCGCACACACACACACACACACACACACCGCATACACACATACACACACACCGCATACATGCATACACGCATACAAACAGACACCCATGACGCACATGCAGCTCATCTAGGTCAGTGTTCTGACGGGACTCACAGGCACAGTGACTGATACCCTCAGGAAACAGCTGTCCGACACCGGGGGAGAGGGGGGCGGGCTGCATCAGGTCCATTTCCTGCCCCTGACATTTTCACGATAACCCCAGAACTTCTGGAAAACACCAAGGACAACGTTCACTTTAATACTTTATCACCAGTGGCCTTGGAAAATGTGCTCCAAAGCGTGTCACCCAAACTGACTCTGAACCTCCTCTCTGATCCAGCATCACCCCAGTGACCTTAGGGATCCTTGTAGAAAGCACTCGGGCCAGACACCTCCCATACCAGAAGTGCCTCGCCAGACGCCTGTGCCGCCGGCCACCAACAGTCCACCCACCACCTTGCGTGTATTTAGTACTTGACAGTTTTCTAAGAGGTTTAACAGGACGCAGGAGCCCAATCACATACATTCCTTTGCTGTTTTAGGAGGCAGGGCCACGATGGTCTCATTTGTTTCTCTAGCCCAGTGGTTCTCAACCTGTGGGTCGCGACCCCTTTGGCGGTCGAACGACCCTTTCACGGGGGTCGCCTAAGACCATCCTGCATATCGGATATTTACATGACGATTCATAACAGTAGCAACATTACAATTATGAAGTAGCAACGAAAATAATTTTATGGTTGGGGGTCACCACAACATGAGGAACTGTATTTAAAGGGCCAGAAGGTTGAGAACCGCTGCTCTAGCCCATTGCTCCATGGACACGAAGTGCCCGGCTGAGAGCTGAGTCAATGTTTGCCAAGTTGAACGAAGCTCAAACACTGGCAGAAAGAGGAAAGCTGGTAAGTTGAACACACAAAGCTCTGATTTCTTCTCTCTAATGAAATCACTTTGAAAAGAGAAGGGAGGACTCCCAGTCTCATGAACCAGGTCCATCCAGGCAAAGTCTGCAGGAACTGACCACTGCTTCTGTGAGGCAATGACTTGGGTGGGGGTCATGCCTGCAAGGGTGATAGTGGGGACTTCTGAGGCTCTGCTCATGCCCTTTTTTTGTCCCTGGGGCTGGTTAGATGGGTGTGTTCTGTTTGTGAAAGTTTATAGTTGCACACTTATGTGCGTTTTTCTGTATGTGTATTAGACATAAAAAAAGTTTAGAGAAAAGCAATTCTTTATAGGCAATCCAACCTCAACTAATAGACCCTCTGAAGCTAATAACAGTTGTGTTTACCCTTGAACATGAATTAATTGCGAGTCTGGGCTGTGGACCAGATACCCTGGCCCTGCCCCTCACTCACTGGGAGAGCTTGGCTGCATTATGTAATATCTCCAAGATTCTGTTCCCTCATCCATGAAGCAGGCAATTAACGCCAACATAATTGAGGTGTTGAGAAGACCAGGCAAGACTGTTCACGCCCAAGATCTGGCACCTGGCCGGCTCTCAGCAAATGACGGCAGCCCTCTTGTAATTGTTGTGATGTACACAGATCTCAGATTCAAGTGTGCAGGACATTCGACTCTTCAGCTGTACCCGGCCTTATTTTTTTTAAAAAAATCCTCATTCCGTTGGGTAGCAGAAACTTACTCTGCCATTTCAGATTTCCTACCCTCATCCAAAATTCAGGTGGCTCACATAGACTTTCCCAAACTCTATCTGCTCGACTGTTCCTGCTCCATCTTATGTTGGGTGGCCGTCAGCAGATCCTACCCGCCAGGCTCCTGGGAGTTCTTCAGCGACCCCTGGGTTCCTCTGGGGACCACGGGGTGCTGTGCGGCTCCTTGCCGGGTGACGATGCAATGTGAGCCTGTCTAGAGGTGTGCGTGCTTTCTGCTCTGGGATCGCCACCACCAGCGCCGTATCTGGGAAAGTGGCTTGTCTTCCCCCAGCCCTGCCCCTGCCCGCCCTGCCTCAGCCTATGGAAGGGTCAGGAATCCCTGTGTGAGCAGAATGACTAGGCTGGTATAACGCAGACTCTGAAAACCAGAGAGAAGTTTCTCTCTCTTATGTGGTCGTCTAGCCTGTCACACTGGTGGGCAGCCTGCTGACCAGGACATTGTGAACATATATATCTGGCCTTGTACTTTTTAAAAAAATATGTTTTTGTTAATTGCAGAGGGAGGAAGGGTGAGGGGGGGTGGGGGGAGAGAAACATGGATGGACTGCCTCCTGCATGCCCCGTACTGGGTACCGAGCCTGAAACCTGGGCATGTGCCCTGACTGAGAATTGAACTGGTGACCTCCTGGTGCAGGGGATGATGCTCAAACAACTGAGCCACACCAGCCAGGATGGAAGTATTTTTTTAAATTGTGAGTACCAAATAAAATTCCCAAGTAATGCCTGAAAACACAGGTGTGGGCTAAAGAAGGTTTTCAAGTTGTGAGTACATGAAACACAGAGGTAAACTTGTATTATTTATTATTATTATTACTAGAGGCCTGGTGCACAAAAATTTGTGCACTCAGGGGGGAGGGAGGGGGTCCCTCAGCCCGGCCTGTGCCCTCTCGCAGTCTGGGACCCCTCAGGGGATGACCACCTGCTGGCTTAGGCCCGCTCCCCGGGGGATTGGGCCTAAGATGGCAATCAGATATCCCTCTGGCAGCCCGGCACCCCTCGGGGGATGTCCACTTGCCAGCGGGGAGCAGGCCTCAACTGCAGTCGGACATCCTTAGCGCTGCTGAGGAAGCAGGAGAGGCTCCCACCACCACTGCTGTACTGGCAGCCATCAGCCTGGCTTGTGGCTGAGCAGAGCTCCTCCATATGAGAGCTCCCTGACCACCAGAGGGCAGCTCCTGCATTGAGCATCTGCCCCCTGGTGGTCAGTGTGTGTCATAGTGACCAGTCATTCCCAGTCCTTCTGCTGTTAGGGTCAGTTTGCATATTACCCTGTTACTATATAGGATAGAGGCCTGGTGCACGGGGGGGGGCCGGCTGGTTTGCCCTGAAGGGGGTCCCGGATCAGGGGGGGGGTCCCGCTTGGGTGCCTGGCCAGCCTGGATGAGGGGATGATGGCTGTTTGCAGCTGGTCACACACCCTTCAGGGTGGGGGTCCCCACTGGGGTGCCTGGCCAGTCTGGGTGAGGGGCTGAGGGCTGTTTTCAGGCTGGCGGGTGACTGAAGCTCCCAACCTCTCCTTTTTTTCTTTTTTTTTTTTGCTTTTTTTGGGATTTATTTACCTTCTATGGCTGTCACTGGAGCTGAGAGCCGGCTTTAGCTCTGAGGCTCGGCTCCCGCTCTGAGACCTCGGCTGCTGAAAGCAGGTATCTGGGCTTTGTTTAGCTTCTATAATTGAAACACTGTTGCAACTCCAGCTCTGAGGCCCGGCTGGCTGAAAGCAGGTTTCTGGGGATTGTTTAGCTTCTAAAATTGCAACATAGTTGCTTAGAGTGCAGCTCAGAGCTGGGCGGCAGCAGGCGGGGAACCTTGGTTTCCTCCATCACTGGAGCAAGCAAGCCTCCTGTTGGCTTCAGCTCCCTGGCTGCTGGCCGCCATCTTGGTTGGCAGTTAATTTGCATATCGCCCTGATTAGCCAATGAGAAGCGTGTCGGAGGTACGGTTAATTACCATGTTTGTCTATTATTAGATAGGATATTTGTTGTTGTACTATTTCTGTGTGTTACAGCTGTAAGCCTACTTTTTCCCACCCATGTATATAACTTAATCCTTACATTCATATAGGATCTTCTATTTATTGTGTTTTGATTATATCTGCTTATGGTTTCTCAAAGGACAGTATGTGAGATGACACTAGGAATTACATAGAGGGAGATTTAAAATTTTTAACAGCGATGTGATTATTTTATTGTAAAAAACTATGAAGCGTGCTAATTAAAGGAGAATATTAGGGAAGTAGTAGAATAGGTAGAATGCGTATATTGTAAAAATTGCAAAAATTATACTTGGGCGACTCACGGTGGATAAATATCACCTGATTGATCTTCTTTAGTAAGACATGTAGTCTGCGGTGGGGATGATTTCATCTGCTTCGCAGAAGGAAAAACTGGAACTTGCACATATGAACACGGTGCTCTTTCCACCATCCAGGCTTTGTGCAATTCAAGACACCTGCCTGAGACTCTGCTCTTCAGTTCCCCGTAAACATATGGATTGGGATCGGAGGGTTGGACACAACCCCCCTAGTGGCATGTTTTACCTTCCTTCCACCTCAACAAATCTGGAGACTTCTCGGCTCATACATTTTTTTTTAATTTAAAATTTTAAAAAGCAGATGCTCACTTAGTCTTATATGTAAACACATTCACATGATAAAATTTAATGAAATTCATTTTTCTTTGAAAAACTAAAAGGAGAATTTAGACATTTGAATTTGAACTTTGTTCTGACTCTTAAATCTCATCATTATTAATCATGAATGTGAGTAAATCATTTTCTCCTTGATGAATAATGAAAAAAGTGCTTATTTCCAATGAAGCCCTAGCTGGTTTGGCTCAGTGGATAGAATAGAGCATTCTGTGGACTGAAGCCTCCTGGGTTCGATTCTAATCAAGGGCACATGCCCGGGTTTCGGGCTTGATCCCCAATAGGGGGCCTGCAGAAGGTTTTCACTCATCATTGATGTTTCTCTGTCTCCCTCTCCCTTCCTCTCAGAAATCAATAAAAAAAATTTTTTTGAGTAAAAAAGAAGATTCAGAGAATTTCCCAGTAAATGCCTTACTTTAAAATATTCTCTTTACCCTTTTTCCCAAATTGTCTTGATTTTTCAGTCATTTTTGAAATTTTTATAAATAGAATACAAGTTCATTTTTTAAATATTTCTTTTAATGTATTTAATCTAGATATGTGTCAACAGTAATATCATGGTGCAGAAGACTGACGCAGACTAGTCAGAGGGAGATGCCCACTGGTTCTGTTCTTGAAGAAAATTGGTATGTGTATTTCTTTTAAGTTTAATCTGTGTAGAAGAGCCAACTAATACTCAAAATTAAAATGTCAAATGGTAGGGGAGAAAGGGGGGGGGATAAAACATTTCCCCTTTTGATTAAAAAATAAATAAAACTGGGTAAAAAAAAAGACAAATGGTTAACTTTAGGACTTTTTCCCCCAAGAAAATCTTTTCTTAGTTAAATATATTTAACTCTATGTTTTTGATAGCTTACAATTAAAAATAATTTTTCTTTAATTAAATATCTAATTTATTAGGTTTTTTTGTTTAAAATTCTAACCTTTGTGAAAACAGTCAAGTATGCTTATTTGAAATATTGTGTATAAAAAAGAATCAGATAACTAGCATGAACTTACTACTTTTCTTTCCACAGGTGTGTGGCTTCTGAACTTGAAAAGATACAGAAGTTTAACTGTATCCTTTAAACATAAGGTATTGTCCTACATAATTACTTCCTTTCCATTCTAGGTTTAATTCATGACCCTATAGTTTATATTAATCCACGCATATATTGTGGAGCTTCAATGAATACTTAAGACATTTGAGAAGTAGCTTGTCTGTAGAAGGTACACGATACTGAATATTTTTGCATGTTCATTGGTGATATTGACATGTATTTTTGTGTCCTTGTAGTGTCTTTGTCTGGTTATGGTTGTCAGGGTAATGCTGGCCTTATACTTTGAAAGTGTTCCCTCCTTGTATTTTTTTGAAAGAGTTTGAGAAGGATTGGTATTAATTGTTCCTTAAATATTTGGTATAATTCACCATTAAAACTATCTGATCCGGGGCTCTTGTTTGTTGGGAGGTTTTGATTCCTGACTCAATCTCCTTCTTACTAGTATTCCATCTGTTCAGGCTTTGTTTGAGTCAGTCTTGGTAGATTGTATGTTTTTGGAATTTATCCATTTCTTCTAGATTGTCCAATATATTGGTATATAATTATAGTAGTCTCTTACGATCCTTTGTATTGTGTTGTATCAGTTGT